AGAGTAGACCGATATTGTTGCTGCTTGTATTTTTATTGTGCAGCCTCTACCATGAGAGAGTTAGGTGGTGGGTGAGAAAAAAAGGAATTCTGAACCCTTGGGTAGGTCATAATATTTCTTATCAGTTCTTTTAGCCATAGAAGAGACTGACGCCGGAGTTTGCCACAGCGTCCTTGCTGGTTCCATTACTGCTGGATTAATTGGTAATGCTATATTTGATGGTGTTACTGAATGCAGTATATCTGTTAAATCATGTTGATTTTCCACAACCTCCTGGAGATGAATGTTTAATTCCGCAGCTACACGTTTAAAAAGGTCTTTGAAATGTGCAGCAGCATCTGAAGTCATTGAAAGTGGTTCCCCATCTTGTATTTTTTTGGAGGAGGAGTATTGCACTCCTGTGTCACTCTCGGCCCTGCTGGTGTTTCCGGTAATATTGCCATTTGTCCCAGTATTGTCAATATGGGTAAGGCTCAGCTGGATAGCCATAATATGGAGGCATCTTCCCAAATCTGGGAGAGTAAGTACTCTTAGCTGTGTAAGGAGACTCCTCTAGTGAAACCCCCCTAAAGAAGTCATTGTCAGATTTGTATGAAAATTTTTCCTGAGAGAGTGATCTCTGTGATGTTAACATAGTGGGAGAGCACTCAAGTTGCAAAAATGGTGAGTTAAAAGTGGATGAGACTATTAAGTCTCTGTGCTAAGTATAGTGCCCAACCGGTATTCCTAGTGTAGTAGTGGGGGGTATGGAGGCACACTGGGCGCCTCTGCAGTGGAAGCTGAGGTGCTGGTGAACATAGTTGGCACTGCACTCTCATGCTGCGTCTGCAAGATCGTATCATTGCCGGATGGTGCTGCAGCCACTGAGGTAGGCAACTTGAAGCCTGACGCCTCAGAGCGCAATTTAGTGCATACTCGCTGTTTCTTTCTGCCGAGGGCTCCAGCGACCCAGAGGTGTCACAGGTACCGAGGTGTGGTGCCACCGCTGCTCTTGGCACTGGCTGTGAGGGGGATGGCTGTTTCAGTGCCGTAGCCTCTTGAAGTGCTGAAGAGACTTGCTTTTTGGTGGAGCTTTTCGGATCCCTACTGCTTGAATTCATAAGGCTGTTGGGCCCAGATCAGAGGCTGGTCTAAGCAAGTTTTTCTAACAAAAATAATTTGAGTCGGAGGTCTGTGTCTTTCTACGCCTGAGATCTTTGCACAGTGAGGGCCTTTCTGAGAGAGATGCTGCTCTCCAAGACAGCGGACGCATTGTGAGTGACCTTCTGAAAGCAGAATATGCTCTTTACATGAGGTGAAGCATTTAAAGCCAGGTGATCCAGGCATGGTCAGAGACTGCAGGGAAGGATTAACTGGGAGAAAAGAAGAAAGCTCCTTATTACTAATTAAGATTTCTTTCTTCCCTTTCTTCACTTTTTTTTAAAACTAATGAAATAATTAATTAACTATTATAATGAATGTAACTGGTTTTAAAAAGTATAATCATGTAGACACAAAGAAGCTAGGGAGTACTGCTGAGTCCATCTGTAGCCGAAGGCGGTACAGAAGGAACTGGTGTGTAAGGGGGGAGGGCAGAGGAGAGCTCACGCATGCACGATGCCTGCACCCTAACAGAATGCAGCTGCTGGTGTGTGCCTGCGTGGCTCCAAGAACACTGCTATGAAATCTCTGCCCTGAGGCTTGGCAGCGGTGCACAGACCCTAATGTGGAGCATCCATAGGGATAGCTCTCAAAGAAATAGCATCTTTCACAGTTTACGTACTCCTTTGCAAGGTGGTTGGGTGTTCCATCTATTGCTCCACCATAGTTAGGGAACCCCAGGTTGGCAAAGCTCTCCACTATATTCTCCACATGTCCCAGAGTCACTATCCTCTATAGCAGAAAGGTATTGATTGCCCCACTCCAAACTGATTTCCAACTGACCAGTAGCTCTCTGGTATTGCAAGCTTATATGGGGTTATTGTCATTTGCTTCTTCACTGTCAGAGCGAGTCTATTCTTGCGCTTCGGGGTGAGGGAAAGCAATTTTGCAAAGTTCCATAGAAAAATAGAACTGGAAGAGACCTCAGGAGGTCATCAAGTCCAGCACCCTGCCCAAAGCAGGACCAACCCAACTAAATCTTCCCAGCCAGGGCTTTGTCAAGCCAAGACATAAAAATCTCTAGGGATGAAGATTCCATCACCTCCCTAGGTAACCCAGTCCAGTGCTTCACCACCCTCCTAGTGAAATAGTTTTTCCTAATAGCCAACTTAGACCTCTCCCACTGTAACATGAAAATTGCCTTGTTAATGCAAAGTTTTGCAGCCACTGCTGATTGGCCCATACCTGCATAACAATGCAGTCCTACCAGTCAGTGCTTGTCTCACAGCACCAGAATTAATTGTGTCCAGAGGATCGAATAGTGGCAGCATTTGCCGCTCGCTCAAGTCAAATGCTTCAAAGAACAGAATATTCATGGTCTCCTGAGATTCTTCCTTGTTCTGGCAGACTCTGAATATGCTCTGGATATAATCCAGCATTAGGCACATCAAGATCAAAATCAGCATCATAAAGCTTTATGATGAACAAGATGCACAATGAGGTCCATGCTCATGCAACAAGCAAAAGAAAAAAGGGTGCAAATGGACTGTTTGCCATTGCAGTGGGGAGGGAGGAAACTAATGCACTATAGGCCTCTGATGACACATACTCCGAACCACCTGCTGCAGTTTTGGTCCCAGTGTGTCCTGGGAGCATAACCCAGAATGCAAAGGAGAACAGAAAGTGTAGGACAACTACCCAAGTGCATTGCTCTCCAAGTCAACTATTCTGGGTAGGGATGTCAACCTTAGTCGAGTACATTAACCGATAAGCCTGGGTTTACTGGTTAATCTTGTTGACTACATGCAACACACAGCCCTTATCAGAGGCAGCTGGTGGGGAGGTAAGAGCCTGTGCCCATGGGGAGCTGGCTTTTAAGTTGGCTCTCCATGAGCACCGGATCACGCAGAGGTGCCTGACCCCCAACCTCACACTGCTGTATCGGCTCACGCACAGGCAGCAGTGCTAGGTGGCAGGGGGCTCTCTGGGAGTGGGGCCAGGAGTGCACTGGCTGCTGGCCCCACCCCCAGGAACTATCAAATCATGTAACTGATAAAATTTGGTGCGGTTACATAATTATTCAATTACACAGTATCTAACATCCCTGATACTAGGGGGGCATTATTTCAAAGGATGTCAAACTCTTGCACACAGTGGAGACATGCACCTTTGACTTTACAAAATTGGGCACTGAAAGTCAACCTTAATAAATTTGACCTTATCTTGTAGTGTAGCCATGGACCCAGCCTGGATAAAAAGTACCATTTGGATCTTAAAACAATAAAAACACCATAAAATTGGATGTGTTATCACAACTCTGATAGATATTATAGTGCTTTCCAAAGTTTGTGTCTGAAAGTCTAGACATCATGTTCAAGTCAGTGAAGTCTGTTATATCATCAACCTTTATATATGACTGCTCAGCAGCTTTCTCCAGAAGAAATTCCACATTGGCCATCAACTGATACTGAAGGCTTTGGCAAGAAATGGCTCGGGGGCCAGATCTGGTCCACCAAACTTTTTAATCCAGCCTGTTCTTCTGGAATCACAGAGTAGATCCACGCTGTTCAATGTGGCTCTTTGTGCTGCCCGCTGGAGAGGGGGAAAGCTTCATACTCTGTCCCTGCCACAGCACAATCTCTCAACTCTTAATTGCCCCAAACCATTCAATGGCAGCTAAGACATTATGATGGGGGTGGGGGCAGCATGCTGAAGCCTCCCCTGTACCGCGTAGTCTCACATGAAGCTGCCAGCTGCTTTGAGCAGTCTGGAGCTGCTGGTAGGCATGGAGCCTACCTGAGGGTCCCAATGGGCTGCTGCCTGGGAGCCGCCTAGGCAAGTGCCCCTAGCTAAAACCTGACCCGGGCACCCCATCTCCTCTTGCACCCCAACTTCCTGACCCAGGTCACCACCCTCTCTCGCCCCAGGTCACCAGCCAAACCCTCTGCACACACCCCACCACAGGTCACAAACTCCCTCCGAAACCCTGTACCTCCTCCTCAAGGCCAGAATGCTCTTCTGACCCCATATCCCCTCCCAGACCCTGCACCACAATCCCCTGTCCCATTTCACAACCCCCTCCTTCACTCCCTCTCAGATCCCAACACTCTCCTCTCTTCTACACTACCCCAAGCTTCCTTCTGCACCCAGCCCCTGCACCCCATCCAAAGAAAAGTATGGCCCTTGACCATTTACCAAAAATTTGGAGTGCCCCCCATTAAAAATTATTGCCCACCTCTGCTTTAGCAGTTTTTCCCAAAAATCAATCTTTTCTATGGAGACTGAAAAATGCGAGTGAATAAAATTCAAATCACCCCATGTAACTCAACAGCACTGTCATGAATTCTTTAAACTGTAGTATACCTTGCTCACTTTAGAACTAGTAGACAATGAGACAGTAGGTCTATGCCTCATTTGAGAGCATCTGGGGCTACCTCCAGACTGCATCCCTCTGCCAACAGAGGGATGTAGATTAGGCACTTCGAAAGTTCAAATGAGCTCTGGATTTAAATATCCCTGGCTTCATTTGCATATTCATGTTCGGCTGCTGTGCTGATCAAACGCCCTTTTGAAAATGAAAGTGAAGTCTTGCCATGGCTCTGCCGACAGCGGGGAGCTTTTTCAGCAGATCCTGTACTCCTCAAAAAAATGAGTACAGGATCTGCCAAAAAAACTCCCTGCTGTCGGCAGAGCTGCGGCTAGACTTTACTTTCACTTTTGTAAGGGCGTTTGATCAGCACAGCAGCCGAACGTGAGTATGCAAATGAAGCCCGGGATATTTGAAGCCCGGGCTCATTTGCACTTTCGAAGTGCCTAATCTACATCCCTCTGTCAGCAAAGGGGTGTAGTTTAGACACACACTGGGAGTCTGAGTCATCTTGAAATCAGGTTGTTACATGACTATACATTGCTCCTCTTACCTACAATTCCAGGAGCGACCATTCCCAGAACTTGGCATCGTTTTGGCAACAGCTTTTCTAGTGCAACTGCTGTTTCTTTACTATTTCTTTTCCTTGCTGTAACAAAAGAAGAGGAAAAAAACTAAGGCACAGAAAGGTTAACGTGATTGGCCACATTACACAGAGCCTCTGACTGTACTCAAAGACCTCTAGTCTAAGCAGCAACAGAACTGACTTTGCATGTGGCTTAAATAATGCCTTACCATCTAACCCATGCTATGAAACAATGCAGCTCATTAGCCACCTTGTAGCCCAGCGGGGCTCAGGGAGGGGCTCCTCCCCTCTGGAGCAGTCACTCCTCCCCACTACTCCCTGCTTAGTCTTTTTGGGGAATTAGCTGTGGCTTTTCAGCTCTGGGGCAGTCCACAGTCTCAGATAGCCGTCAGTGGCAAACAGTTCTCAGGCCTGACTCTGAATCAGGGCAGAGCAGTCGGCAAATAAACAATTCAGGGCCCACGCCCTGGTTCAGGGTGGGATGGCAAATAAGAATGGTTTCTGACCTGTTTGTTTAAGTCCCACTCGCAACAAACCCAGTTGGGTTCCCTTGGTCAGGTAGGGGTCTGGCAGGTTCAGGCTGCTGTTCAGGAACAGCTAAGGGGAGACTGCCACCCAACAGTGGGGTGGCATGGTGGACCCAGGCCCACTCACTCCACTACGTCCCAGCCCAGGGCCCTAACAGCAGCAGAGCAGTCTGCTGCTGGGTCAGCAGGGATCCAGATTGCAACACGCTGAGCTGGTTCTGGCTCAGCCAAACGGTGGTTGGTGACCCCTGGGCTTTTTCCATTCTCCGCCTCAGGTGGAACCTGTGTCCTGTGCAGGTCCTCTGGGATTTGGTGCTCTGGAACTCCCAGCCTCGTAAGCAGTCCTTCCAGTCCATCGTCCAGCTGGAGCCCTGGCAGCCCAGGCCAGTCCTCAGCTTTTCCCAAGCCCAACTCCTCATTTGGGTGTATAGGTGAGGCTTCTGGCTCCTCTGGTTACTTCCCTCTAACTGGCCTCTCTGGCTGGCCTTTTATATCCCTAGCCCTGCCGCCTTGCTTCTGGTCAGGTGGGTTGATGGGGTCAAGGGCTCAGGAAGGGGCTCCTCCCAATCGGGGACCACTCCGACCCACTCCACACTCTCCATCTCAACTCCAGCTCCCGGTTATCAGGGCTGGACTCTTGACCCTCCCCTATGTGTGACAAACAGTCCACGCATTGGCATTCTCTTCCCCTGGGCAGCAATGAATAGTTCATGCATATTGTTGTAAAGCGAGGGCATTAGTATCCCTCATGGTATGCAATCAATTAAGTGGTGCATGGTCTGTTGCCAATACAAAAGGGCTGCCTAAAAGGTAGTATTTCAAGGTAGTATTTAAATTGCCCATTTAAGGGCCAGGGCCTCCTTTTCAATAACTGAGTAGTAGCTTCCTACTGATACAGAATGTTGGATGTTCCTCTCCATCTATGTTGTGGGACAGTATGGCTCTTAGTTCCACTTCTGAGGCATTTGTACCACAAAGGGGTGGTTGAAGTTAGGGCTAAACAGCGCAGGTTCTTGTCACAGGCAATCTTTGAGAGTCTGGAACGCCACTTCACACTCCAGTGACCGGCATACGCATTTGTGGGCTGTCTTTGGGAAAGAGGGCAGTGGGGTTGGGAGGTGGGAAGGCAATGGCCACAAATTGGGGAACAAAGCGGTGATAATATACAGCTAGGCCTAGGAACTGATGCACCTTTCACTTTGTCATGGGTGCGAGAGAGCTTTGTATGGTGTGGACTTTCCCTATAAGGGGGCACACAAGGCCACGTCCCTGCTGGTATCTGAGGTAGATGGTCTCTTGCCAGCTGACCTGGCACTTCTTTGTATTGGTAGTGAGCCCTGTGTCTCGAAGAGTCTGAACAATGGCTGTCATTTAGAGGAGGTGTTCTTCCCAGTGCTGGCTATAAATGACAATATCATCTAGGTAGGTGCTGTCATACTCCACATGGGGTATCAGTAGGCAGTCCATCATACGCTGGAATGTCACAGGAGCATCATGAAGGCCAAAGGGCATCCGGACAAAATGGAACAGTCTGGATGGGGTGGTGAATGCAGTCTTCTCCTAGGAATTTGGATCTAACAGGATTTGCCAATACCCCTTTGTCAAATTGAGGGTTGTAATGTAGTTAGCTGTTCTCAGGAGGTCCAGGAGTTCTTCAGTTTGGGGCATCAGGTAGGCATCGAACTTGGATATGGCACTTATCTTCCTGAAATCTATGCAGACTCATATGCTCCGGTCTGGTTTTGGCACAAGCACTACAGGACTTCACCACTCACTTTGATTGTTCAGTAACTCCTGAGTTTTAACATCTTCTTCTACCACTCCACTCATCTGTTTGGGGCAGAGGGCGGTTAATCTCTTGGACTACCTGGCCTGGGGTTGTCTGAATTGTATGTGACACCAACGTGGTTTGTCCAGGAAGCATGGTAAAGATCTTCTGAAAGGCTGACACGCTTTGCTTTTGCTGAATCCTGGTCAGCCTATCTCCCAACCACAGTTTTTCTTCCCCCTCTGGGTCAGGCACCTGGGGCCATAGAGCCGGTTCTGGTGGGGATGAAGTGATAATTAGCCACTTGTGCTCTCTCCATGGCTTTAGGAAGTTCACATGACAAATTCGCTTCTTTTTTTTCCGGTCTGGCTGGTGTACTTCATACGTCACTGGATCTGCTTGGTGTGTGATCTCATAGGGATCCTGCCATTGAGCGAGGAGTTAAGCTTCCTCTGATGGGAGGAGAATGAGTACTTGGTCTCCTGGTTCAAATGTCTTCTCTTAGGATCCCTGGTTATAATATTGCTCATGGGTTGTTTGAGCCGCCTGTGGGTTCTCTTGGCTAAAGTCCCTGCCCTGCAAGACGCTCCTGTAATTGTAAAACATACTGGAGAAGCCCCTGAGATGATGAGAGTGCTTTCCCAGTCTCCCTCATTAAGTCCAACACCTCACAAGGTTGGTGACCATAGAGGAGCTCAAGTAGGGAGAACTGGGTTGACAACTGGGGCACCTCCGGTATGGCTAACAATAAGGAGGTAGGTAATTGGTCCCACTGCTGTAGTTCAGATTGGGAAAACATCCTCAACATCCCCTGTAGACTTCAATTAATATGCTCCACTAAGCCATCAGTCTGAGGGTGGTACAATGAAGTTTGGAGCTTGCGAATGCTCAGGAGTGCACAGACCTGCCGAAATAATCAGGAGGCAAAATTAGTTCCTTGGTCCATGAGCAACTCCCAGGCAAGGCCCATCCTAGTGAAGACTTTCACTAATTCAGAGCCAATGGTACGGGGCCATGGTATTCTGCAGAGGGATAGACTATGCAACCTGCTTCCCAGAGGCTATCAGAACCAAGATGCATTTGAACCCAGCTTTGCTCCTCTGCAGTGGGCCTACCAGGTCCAAAGCAATGCATTCAAATGGAGTACCAACCACTGGCATGAGTACCAGGGAGTCCTGTAGAACCCCTTGGTTAGCAGCTAACTGGCAGTCAGGACATGACTGACAGTAGTCCTTTACTTCTTGGTAAAGGTAAACACCTGGCCAGAAAAACAGTGACAGGACCCATGACAGGGTCTTGTTTTGGCCCGGGTGTCCAGCGGCAGGGATGGCACATGCAAGCCTCAGAATGGCTCTCTGGTGGCAGTGAGGGACTACTAGCTGGGACCAGACTTTTTGTGTCTGTGCGTCCCAGTCCACTCAATACAGACAGTCAAATACCATCTTGAAATGTGGCCACTGCTTGGCTGCCTGTGGGTCAGTGACAGCCCCGTAGACAAACCACAAAGACAGATCCTCTTGATGATCTTGGGGGAAATCTGCCAGGTGGGTGGTCACCAAGTCTTCTCCAGAGGAGCAACCAGGTTGGTTTGACCCCTCAGGTCCTTCCATTCCCCCCTTTTCTTCTTCCCCTTCTGCGGCGAGCCCCCCACCCTGGACTGCAGATGGCCTACTGCTATAGCAGAAAGTCTGGCAAGGGCATCCTGTGTGACAGGGGCCCTGAGACTGGCTCCATAGAGGAGGTCTAAAAACCCCGGCAAGTTTTGACCAAGGATGACTGGGTAGTCTAGAGTGGGGTCCACCCCCACTTCCTCTGATAAACAGTTTTTGGTCAGGGCACTCGGGCTTGGGGGTATCTCCTGACATCCCCATAAATGCACTAGAGCTGGAGCTTCCCATAGGTCAGTACTGGGTGAGGGATAATGTCCTTGTGGACAAGGGTTTGTCCACAGCCAGAGTCTAAAAGGCCAACTACTTCCCATGGCCCCACTTTCACAGGCATTGTCAGCTTGAGCGTCCTCATTCTGTGGGCCTGAGATTCCGCAGTGCACACCCGTCCAAAGTTGCAGTCCATATCTGAACAATCTCGCTTCAGGTACCCCAAGGGGCCGCAGGAAAAGCAAGGTCCAAGTTCCAAATGGGCTGGTCAGGTAGGGGCATCTGGAGGTCAGTTCTGCAGTCCATCCCGTTTCCCAGTTGGGGCGTCTCCCTAGCTTCCTGTTCCCGGGGGCTGGTCAGCCGACTCCTCTCTTGAGCTGGGACCTGGGGTTCCTGAGCGCCAGAACAAGGGTCAGGCTTCCCTCAGGGCCTCTGGAGGGGTGCAGAGACTGCTGGCCTGACTGGGGAAAGTGGGGCATGGGCCCTATCCCAACAGATCCATCTGCTGCCAAGTAGTCCTTCATGAGGGCGATGGCGGCATGGAGTGTCGCTGGATAGTGCCGAAGGACCCGCACCAAGCCCCGCAATGGGAGGACCTCAATGAATTGCTCCAGAGCAATCTGTTCAACAATTTCTTCAGCTGAATTTCATTCTGGGCACAGTCATTGCCGAGCAAGACTCTTAATTTCCTGATCTACCACTCAGGGTCGGGTCCCAGTTGGATAAGTTATATGCTGGAGCCGGTGCCGGAAAGTCTCTGGAGTGATATCCAGGGTGTCCAGGATTGCGGTCTTCACATGTCTATAATGTTGGGCCACTAAAATAAGTAGTCCTTGATAGGCCATCTGGGCAGACCCAGATAGACAGGGAGCTAGGAGAGCAGCCCACTGCTCCCACGGCCAACCTGTCAACACAGCCACCCACTCAAATGTCTCCAGAAAGGCTTTGAGGTCCCCATCAGGCCCCATCTTGGAGAGTCATATTGGTGCAGCAGATATTGGGGTGTCTCCCTCTGCCGCAGGTGGCTATCAGTCAGGTTGGTATGTGAGGGAGGCCAATTGCTGGAAACCTTGTAGCTGGAGTTCTTATTGTTGGGTGGCCAGTCTTGCTGCTGCTGGGTTACCATCCCCTGCATGAATTGCTGCTACTGCTTATGCTGTGCGCCCAGCTGCTGTATCAATTGCGGGTGTTGTTTCTGTTGGCTTCCAGACCAGTACTTAAAATTTTTTTTGCGATCCATTTCTCTCTCTTTTTTCCGTAACTGGTAGCAGCTAAACCCCTTTTTGTCAGGGGTTGGGTCCTGCCCATATTCTCCACCATATGTAGCCCAGTGGGGCTCAGGGAGGGGATTCCCCCTTCCCTCGACTCAGCTCCACTACATCTGCTTAGTCTCTTTGGGGAATTAGCTGCGGCTTTTCAGCTCTGAGGCAATCCACTGTCTCAGATAATGGTCAGTGGCAAACAGTTATCAGGCCTGATCCTGATTCACGGCAGGGCAGTAGGCAAAAACCCAGTTCAGACCCCAGGCCCTGGTGCAGGGCGGAGCTGCAAACAAACAAACAGTTCAAAGCCCAAGCCCTTATTCAAAGTAGGGTGGCAAACAAACAGTTCAGAAACAGTTCTCAAGTCCTGGTTGCAACCAACCCAGTTGTGTCTCTCTGGTCAGCAGGTTCAGGCTGCTGTTCAGGAACAGTCAAGGGAGGAGACTGCCACCCAAGAATGAATTGACAGGGGGGATCCAGGCCCACCCACTTCACTGCTTCCCAGGCCAAGGTCCTAACAGCAGCAGGGCAGTCTGCTCCGGAGTCAGTGGGAATCCCGACTGCAACACACTGACCTGGTTCTGGCTCAGCCAAACGGTGGTCAGCTACCCCGGGCGGTATCTGTGTCCTGTGCAGGTCCTCTGGAACCCCCATCCAGGTAAGCAGTCCTTCCAGTCCATTGGCCAGCTGAGGCCCCAATGGCCCAGGCCAGTATCAGCTTCTCCCAGGCCCATCTCCACACATGGATGTGCATGGGAGGCTTCTGGCTCCTCTGGCCGTTTCCCTCTGACTGGTCTCTCTTTTATATCACAGTCCCACCTCCTTGCTTCTGGTCAGGTGGGTTGCTAGGCTCAGGTGCTGCCCACCAGGGATCAGGGAGGGGCTTCTCTCCCTTGGGGTCAGTGGGAAGCCACTCCACCCCACTACACACTTCAGTCAGCACATGACATATTACATACAGATAATGCACATTACAGAACTATACTATACAGAGTATGAAGAATTAAATATCTTTACTAGGATGAGATAAAAAATGAGTTATAGTGCACCTGTTATAAAATAATTATATGAACCTATTTAGAATAGATAATTTGGTAGGGCCCTGAAGGTTCATTTTGATAAATTCCATAATCATATTATTTAAAATCTTAAATTTCACCATTTCAGATATTTAAATCTGAAATTTCAGTGTTGTAACTGTGGGGATCCTGACCCAAAAGGGGATTGTGGCAGTGTACTGTAAAGGCTACTGTAGTTGGGATTATGGACATTAGCAAATAGTTGACTAACAGATAAGCCTAGGCTTATTGGTTAGTCGAGCTGACTATTCTACTACTCGCATTCCTCCCCTTGCTACCTCTGTATCAGAGGGGGGAGGAAGGAAAGCAGGAGTCGGTGCTGGGGGGAGGGAGGGAGAGGGAGCCAGCTTAAAAGACTGTTCCCTCTAGCATTGTTCCCCCGGTGCTGCCTGTCCCTGCTGCGAGGGAGGGGGCAGAGGGAGGCTGCAAAGCAGCCTCTCATGCTGCATGTGGGACCTACTTGATATTGCTACCCTTACTTCTGCATTGCTGCTAGTGATGGTGCTGCCTTCAGAGCTGGGCTCCCAGCCAACATCCACAAAGCTTCCTGCAGCCATGGGAAGTTCCCAGAAGTAGGTGTGCCCCAGTTCTAGGAGAAGCCTGTGATGGACAAGAAATCCCATCCCTCCCCAGTCCAGCTGGGATTAGCAGCTGCAGCCTAGTACAATGCTAGTGCTCATGGAGGAGACCAGATTTTGCAATCTGATGTGTTTTTCACAGCTGTGATTTTAGTAGGGTGCTATATATAGAATAGCTTACATGAATCCCATCTCTTAATGCAAACCCAAGGTGACAGTGCCCCCTTTGAACTTTTAGATAGTGATTTACTTATTTAAAAAATTAAATGTTGACAATATCACATTATTTGATTGTTTTTCTTTATGCATCCTACTTCATTACAATCATCTATAAGATTTTTCTTAAAGCTTACCTCTCTTTTGTCCATGACATTCTTCATGTCCACTGAAAGTCTCTGCATCTGCTATGTAGAGCACTGTTTGTGGCAGCACATGCACATTCTGTGAAGTACAAAAAGATAAATGAAAACAGTGTAAGAAAAGCATACTTTGCTACTTAACTGCAGGTTGTCACACCTTTACTCTATACCTACGTTTCCAGAGAAATATACTATTTAAATATTCATTACTGTTTGGCACTAGAAATACTTTTCTCTTTTGATATTCTGTGGTTCAAGTTCTCTCAAGTTTGTAACACTAGCAGTGTCTGTTATCCGCTTCAGCTTGGCTCATTTTGAAGTGTTGTAACCCATGTATTGATCATTCTTCCTCTGTATATTTAAGGGTTACAACTTTCAAATATTATAAAGTAGAAGAGCTACCCAGTATTGCTTGGGTCCTTAATTCAATTTGTTTTTAAATGATTCATTTAAATTAGGGATGTTAGATAGCAACTGATTGAATAGTTGTGTAATTGCATCAAATTTTAGTGGTTACACAACTATTCAATAGTTCCGGAGTGTGTGTGTGTGTGTGTGTGTGTGTGTGTGTGTGTGTGTGTGTGTCAGCCATTGCACTCCTGGCACACTTCTGGGGAGTCCCTTGCAACCCCATTCTATTGCCTCTGTATCAGAGGCAGTAGCACAGGGCGGCAGGTAGGAGCAGTCTCTGTCTACAGCCCTTCGTGGGGTGCCGGCACAGCCCCTATCTGTGGAGGAGACAAGCTCCCTATGGACAGGAGCTGGCTTTTACAACACTCCAAAAATTCTGTTAAAAGAGTCCTTATCTTTCTTGCCTTAAAGCCATTAACGCCTATGTAAACTTTGTTTTAAAACGTAATCATGCAAATGTTATGACCTAGGCCTACCTACAGCCTGAATCTTATCTACAAAAGGTGCCAAAATATTTTTCAATAGAAAGACACCAATCCAAGGGAAGTCAGATCCCGCATTAAGATCTACTAATCTTGGCCTGTACATCTCTGCTCTGGATCCATCTTCCGCTCAACAAACTAAATTTTAGTCCAGGCTTTCTAATATCTCTGGGCAGATGGACACTGTTAAAAAACTCAACAAGCTCTATATCTTTCCCCCCCTGATACTAGGGCCTTGTGGTCTACACTGGCATGTTTTATTGCCAAAAAGCAGCCTTCTAATAACAAAAACCTTTAAGTGTCCACATTACAGTGCAACAGATGTTACAACATATGGCCATTTTTTGGCAACAAAAAGCTTTCAGCCCCCCTCCAAGGGACTTTTGTCTCTGCGCTGTCAACAAGGATACAGTGTGTGTAGGGTTTTTGTCAAGTTTATTGGACTCTGGCATGTATGCCACAAGGCCCCATTTAGCCAGTCTGGACATTACCTTGAATACGGCTGCCTTTCAACCATGTAATGTCTACAGGTAAAGAGATATTTCTCTCTCATTACAAATCCTGGGAAATATAAATCCATTTCCGGTGTCTGTGGCACATTGTGTAGTGATCCTCATGGCATCGTCTCAAGGAAAGAAGGGCGCTGGTCATCGATTCAAACACTCTCCTGCTTGGAACAATGTCAAGCTATTGGATATAATAGGTTGAGCGTGTATGAAAATTTGGTACAGTCAGAGCTGCAAGTGACCAATAAGAACTGGGACATGTACAGTTGCATTTCTCAAGCTCTGTGACACCAGGGATATAAATAAGACACCCTACAATACAGAGCCAATATCTAGAAACTCCGGCAAACCTACCACAAGGCAAGGTGGCAAACAGCCGGTCTGGTTCTGCATTGAAAACATGCCTGTTTTATAAAGAACTAGATGGAATCCTGGCTGGGGACCCCACAACCAAACCCCAGGACACTGTGGAAAGTTCTCAGAAGAGAAGAGTCAGAAATACTTGTCCAGGATACACAGATACAAGCTGATGAAGAGATTGAAGAGGATGAGAAAGTGAGGATCAATCTGGTAACAACCTGTGCACTCACAGGGGGAAATTATTCTCAAACGATGTTTGTGAGGATTCTCAGCAACTCATCATGGAAGAGATGATATATATTGAAGTAATGGAAGGGATGCAAGGTATGTTGGTATGCAGACACCTGGGGTTGAGGGCTGAGTAGGTTGCAGCTATGCAGGGTAGTAAGTTGCTCTATGCCAGGGTTACTCAACACGTGGCCCATAGACTGCATGCAGCCTGCGGCCCTTTTGTTTTCGGCCCCCAGTGTGGTTTGGGTTTGCACGGGGCTCAACATGTGGCATGCAGGTGGGATCCTTTGAACATGGCCTCCACTGGGAACATGCTCCACAATGGCAAGGCATCTCCCAGGTAGGGTGAGTAATGAAAGATGCAAGCAGATGGGCTGGCTGGAACAGACAGGTACAGGGTATCAGTGTTTCTAGCCCCCAGGGAGGAGGTGCCAGGAGTCACAGGGCACTGTGGGAAATGCTGGTTGCTTAGCCTGTGGCCAGAGCCTGTAAGCTACTAACTGACTCACTCTGGCCATGTTTGGGTCCAGCGCCATGGCCGGGCAGCCCTGCCTCTGTTCCACACAGAGAGATGGACTCCCACGTGGGGATGTCAGCCCTGCTGGGAATCCAGGACGGAGCTCCCAGGCACTTGTCCTTTTTTGCCTCTTATGTCCAGCCTGACTTGCCCAGTTCCCTACCTGCCGCAGGTTGGAGCACGCTGGCTTGGAAAACTTCTTTTTACAGAAGAATCACTCCAAGAAATGCGCAACTTGAAGATTCAAGCTAAACACCCAAAACACTGGTATACAATTTTCTTTTTAATAAGAAGTATTAAAATGTCAACAAAGAAGAGATGCTTGTGGGATGAACACAGGGTTTTCAACCCTGTTTGGGAGATGGAATTTGCTTTTGCAGAGATAAGTGGCAAATCAATGTATCTTCTTTGTTAAAAGACTATCACTGCATTAAAGAAAACAAACCTGAAAAGGCACCATGAATCTTGTCACTCTGAGTTCAAAGACTTGTATCGACCTTGCAGCAATTTAAGAAAAACTAAGATATGAATGCAGGAGTGCTGAAAGAGTGAAAGATGTATCTAAGCTCCCTGTGCACTTTCTGCATTTTCCACCTTGCCAGAAGCAAGTCCAGTTGCTGTAGTATGTTAGATTAGCCTCAAGGCTGCTCTAAGTCTGCACTGCCCACAATTCCGTAGAAGTTATAAGAGGCAAAAAATAAGCACAAAGCAGCACTGCTCTAGTTTTCCCTCTGTGCCGTGAACTTGGGGCAGGGGGCACACCACAGTCATTTCACTGGCTTTGTCAAGGCAGTTGCCCACTCTGACACTCCAAGTTCAGAAGGTGAGGGCCCACAAGAGAGCTTCAAAACCTTGCTTCTATGGGCACTGGTTACAAGAAACTTCCCCACAGAGTCATAAAACACAGATTTTGGGGAATCATTTTTATCCCTAAAAATCAGGGGTGAACACTTGAAACCACCCCCAGGGATACCCTCTCAAGCTCTTTTGCGCCAAAAGAGCTTGAAAAAAAGAAAAGAGAAGAACAAGCTGAAGTCTCTTGGTAACCAATCCCTCAGTCTGAGACATGCAGATACACACAGACAGACCTCCTAGAACACAGGAATCAAATCATCACCTTAAAAAAAGTGATTTTTGTATTACAAAACAAAAGACAAATTTAATAAAGCATACTTTGTTGCTAGATGTTACACAGCAACTAAGGAAAACAAATTAAAACACAGAGAAAAGTCTCAGGGCACAATACAAGGTAGTAGATGGGAAAGGGAGGCATAGATTCACACAGAGCAGTTCAAAACACAAAATAAAGAAACATTACCCTGAACACGACTGGATTTACTTTTCCTTACTTCCAATTTTTTCCTCTGTTCAGTCCACTCCTGTGCCCCAAATTGCTTGGAGACATGGTAGTTCTGCCTGGGTTTAAATCATTCTCTGTGTCTCAACTCCTGGTTTCTCTCTCCCACACAAAGAAAGTGGGCAAGAAATCTATCCAATTCCAATTTTAACCCTCTATCTCAATTTGTTTTCCTGGCCAACACCTTTTCTAGCCACCCCTGAGTTTAACCCCTTAGTCAACAGGTGCTGGTCAGGACTCCTCTTTATCCATTACAGGCTCTAAACAAACTAGGGTGTCCCTTATCTACACTAGGGGTAAGTCCCAAGTATGGAAGTGAGACCACTGCCTTTAGGGTACCTTTGTGCCACTGGAGTGCCAAATGGTTCTAGGGCAGGGGTCGGCAACCTTTTCAAGCCAAAGAACCAAACTATATCAAAATTCAGAACAAGTGGTCAACAAAGAGCCAGTATTAGAATGACCATTTGCATGACTAAAAATATACAACTTAATATTATTGATAACTGACAATGATTAACAACATCATAAAATGTACCATTGTACTCAAGACTTTATTGAATGGGACTTCTCCTGCTGCATCTCTTTGTACAGTTCTTTGAAGTTTACACCACAACTAGCCAAAACCAGCTTCATGCAAGCATTCAGGATGTCTTCTGCCAATCTTATGGCAGGGGGCTGGTGATGTGCAGGTGCAAGAGTCTGGGTTGAAGTGTATGAGGGGCTCAGGCCAGAAGGCTGGGATGTGTGGGGGTGCAGGAGTATTGTGGCAGGGGACTGAAAATGTGGGGACACAGGAGTCTGGGAATATGGAGGTATGAGGGGCTTAGGGCAGGGGATTCAGGTGTATGATGGGCTCAGGGCTGGCGTGTGGGGGGGTGCAGGAGTGTTATGATGCTGCAGCCAGATGGGGACTGGGGCTAAATTGGGGGCTTGTTGGCCAGGCTTCAATTTTAAATAAAGTAAAATATTATATCCAACACAAAAGGTTTCAACCTGGGCTTTATTTATGGCAGGAGTAGGGAACCTTTTTAGGTTGGGGACCACTGACCAACAGAAAAATCAGTCGGGGACCATACAAGTGAGAAGCAAAAACAAAAAAAAAACCCAAATCCCTCAACATTCACTGATGTGACCCCCAACTGACACGCCTCACTCTTCTGGTGCACAAGTCCCATAGTGAAGGGAGGGGCAGGGAGGACTGAGGTTCAAGGCTTCAGGCCAGATTTACTTTTCTGGGGTTCCAGGGTTAGTGCATTTTGTGAGGCCCTTCCAGCCTCTGGGTTGGGGCCAAAAATTAGGCATTAAGGCTGCGTCTACACTGGCATGTGCCTTTGCACAAAAGATTTGCTTTTGCGCAAAAGCATCCGTGCCAGTGTAGACGTTTTCTTGCACAAGAAAGCACCGATGGCCATTTTAGCCATCGGCCTTTCTTGCGCAAGAAATTAACGTTGCTCTGTACACGGTCCCTCTTGCACAAGAATACTTGCGCAAGAGGGCTTATCCCTGAGCGGGAGCGTCAGAGTATCTGCGCAAGAACCACTGATTTTGTACATTACAAAATCAGTGTTCTTGCGCAAATACTTGCGGCCAGTGTAGACAGACAGCAAGATTTTGCACAAAAGCATCTGCTTTTGCGCAAAATCTTGCCAATGTAGATACAGCCTAAGTGTGTGGGACAGGGCTGCCAGTGAATGGGTTAGGGATGGGAGTGCAGGATATGAGCGGAAGGTGGGATGTAGGAGGAGGTGAGGGTGCAAGGTCTGGCCAGTGGGCAAACTGCCTGGCCGAGGAGCAGAAGCAGGCTGGCTACTTAGCCAGGAGGTTGGGGGCAAAGAGGATGTTGGCCACAGAGCTGGGGGGACGTTGGCCAGTGGGATGGGAGCAGAGGGTGTCTGGTCTGGGAGCAGGGGGGGTTTTGACTAGAGGGCTGGGGGGGTTTTGGCCAGGGGGCTGCAGGCAAGGAGTGTCTGGCCATAAAGCAGGGGAGATTTTGGACAGTAGGGTGGGGACAAGGGGTGTCTGGGGAGGCGGTGCCTGGACAGGAGGAAGGGCTGTCTGGTCAGAAGGGTGAGGGTGTGTGTGTCTGGGCATGAGGAGGTGCAGGGCACTCGTTTTCATGCCATAGTGCAAGCACCATGTAACACACCTCCCACTGCTCCCATTCCCTGCAAGCCTCCGAGAAGGACTGGCAGGAAAGACTGCAGGAAGAGTGTCCGGAGGGAAAGAAATGTCAGTACGTAGGGAGCCACCTCTGGTTCCTAGTTTTCCTGATGTGTGTGTGGGGGGGGGGGGGGGGGG